TCTCTCTCTCTCTCTCTCTCTCTCTCTCTCTCTCTCTCTCTCTCTCTTTCTCTCTCTCTCTCTCTCTCGCACACAAGCACACACAGTTATCTCTCTGCTCATTCACCACCTCTCTCTCTCTCTATGAACAGGTTTACACTGCGTTTCTTATGAGTATGATTGCCAGCTTCATCTCTCTCTCTCTCTCTCTCTCTCTCTCTCTCTCTCTCTTCCTGTATAGCTGTCACTCGTTCTCTCCTCCCCATCTATCGCTGTTGAGTCTCCCTTAAAGGAACACCCATTTTGAATGTTATCAGCCCTTCTAATGGCGGTTATCAGTCGTAATCACTACTATTCTAATGCTTCAGACGGGCCAAACCAAACCTACCTGCATGTTGTGAAACGGTTTCACTTTTAAACTTGTGGTTAATGTTGTGAATTGAAAAAAAACAACTTGTTTGGGCAACAAAAGTACTTGGAAAAAAGTTCATGGTTTGGATTTACATAACTGAATTTAAATGAACTTATGTTAAATTAACTGAATTTATGTACATAGGCTAAGTTTAATTATGTATATAAGTTGAGAACGGTGTTAAGAGAAGTTGACGTTGACTTTTAGTTTCACACGGGACACAAACAGCGGTCTACTGTGTGAAAGTCTTGTGTTTGTTTGACTCATTCGTCCATCCCGTCCTCCTTCCTGTTTGGACTTTGTTGGACATAGGCATCATTCACATCCAATCAGGTTCCCACGGTTATTTGAATGTGGGTAGTTTGTAAAGGCTACGGCGGCAGAGACCGCAGAAAGATAAAACAGAATAAACTTACTAGCCAGCTTAAGCTTCATTTAGCCATTAGCCTTAATATTCTCCTGATCTGACAGTTTTATTTGCCTACAACTCACCAAACATTAAAGGTTTTGGTTGCTAAAACCATTGTTGTCCTGTTTCTTCTTTTTCTCTTCTACCTCCTCTTTCTATAGCACTGCCATTATAGTCACTGCAAAGCTGTATGTTTGCATCTTTAATGGTCGTTCAATAGAAATCTCAACCAAAAAGAGAAAGAAAAAGTAGACAATGTTTCTGCCATGCGAGTGTCAATTATTGTTTAATTTGACCTTTATTTGAAAGTAAGCATGGACTTCATTATATCTGCACTGCATCTCTGCAGCTGTACACAGTCAGCACTCTTAACCCGGCACTATTTTAGTCTCACAATTCTGGTCCAAATATAAAATCTCTGAGAGCAGAACACCAGCCTTCTTTCTGGGTGTTTAATTGCTGCAATTTGTCTTGATGACACATAAATGTCGTTTCGTCAAACTGGTTGAATCGGTGATGTGCAGCTTCAGTGTGTGATTTAATTTGAAGAAACAGGTGTTTTTTTTGTTCATACAAAACTCTTGCATCATATTGCAGCTTTAACAGACCAGGTTTAATTGCATCAGTGTTGAAACGGTCAAATGTCTCATTTAGCAAAATCACCTCAGGATCCAGAGAGAAGTTTGCCGTAGTAAATTGATTTGACATCCCACAGTGCTGCTGCTGCTGCTGCTGCTGCTGCTGCTGGTGTCTGGGCTTATTTTGAGGCCACACAGTAAAAACAGCATATTTCTCTCTCAACGCAATGTTGTCTGAGCTGAGCAGATGTGCTGCCATAATGTGCGAGCCTCCGTAACCTCCTACCTCTCCTCTCTACCTGAGCGGCATCCAGGGAGCCGGCAGGATGTTATGACAGGCGTGGAATTAGAATATGGCCGCCGCTGTGTCTCTAGTTTTTCTTGTTGTTGTTGGAGGAGGAGGAGGAGGAAGACGAAGAAGAATAGGGGGAGGAAGATTGCAGTCTTTCATGCGTGGTTTACTGCCTGAGTTTAATAGATGCTGAAATGAGTGCGGAATTGTGTAAGTACAGCGTTTCCTCTGTTAATGGTTTCATAGCAGCGCGGCGGTGGTGGATCAGAATATTTCTGGGCAGCACTGAACGGTCCAACGGCCTTATGTCAGGATATTAAACCATGAGTGTGAACCTACAGACTTCCCACTTTTAACGGCACGTATGCCAACGTCCTGCAGCTCTTTCCCTCCGTCCTCAGGAGGTGGAAGTGTTCAGTAGAAAGCCGCCTCAGCATCAACATGTCAGTCCATTCACTGCAATTTTAAATCATTCCCTGATATCATTTCTTTGCAACCGCAAATTACTTTCCCCTCATTTGAATCCAAGTGTGCTGCACCGTCCATCGCCCCTCTCAGTTTATTGCACTAGATGTGCATCCATCTGCAGCCACGAGGAGCCTCTGACCCATGAAACTGACGTTTTATGGGCTGGATGACATCCACAAGATGAGCAGTTCTTCCATGAAACAATCTGTTGTCAAACAATTGGCTTCCAAGGGATTTTTCAAAATAAAATATCAATGTGTTCAACAGACCAACTAGGGATCGTGTTGAATGTGGGTGTTTTTGCATTCGGTTAAGCAGCTGATGTAGAATATGGAGTGACCGTTTTGCACTCTTCATACATCCATAGGAATGATAACAAGTATAACAAGCATGAAAGCCTACTAAGGGTATGTGGGACTTAGGTGGATAGATCAAACAAACGGAACCTTCACTCAGGAGACCGCTGTTTTTGTGTCCCGTGTGAAACCAAAAGTAAATGTTGACGCATGTTACGTTACGTTGTTACGTTACGTTGTTACGTTATGTTGTTACGTTACAGTGTTAGGTTATGCTGTTAGGTTACGCTGTTAGGTTACGGTTTTACGTTACGTTGTTAGGTTACCTTGTTAGGTTACCTTGTTAGGTTACCTTGTTACATTATGTTGTTACATTACGTTGTTACGTTACATTACGTTTTTTACGTTATGTTGTTGCATTATGTTGTTACGCTACATTGTTACGTTGTTACGTTACATTGTTACTTTTACGGTGTTACGTAATTATTTAAACACAAACCATTATTTTTTTTCCAACCCTAAACCTAACCAGTCGTCCCACGACGTTGACCGCGTGGCATTGTGCGTTTCTGCAAAACATTCATGGCAACATTTTTTCTGCTGACTGGTATGATTTAAGGCCAAGACGAAGAGACTGAGGTGATGGTCTAAAATAATTTTAGACAGAATCTGTGGTCTGAATCGAGATGAAACAGTAGAAAAGTAGAAAATATGAATTAAAGGTGCAGTCTGTCATCCAAATTTGTCAAACTTCTGCATTGGCTTCACTCGGCAGAACCGGAGGTTGCCGCCTGGTATCAATGTAGGACAAAGATGTAAGGCAGGTGTAGCTGCATGATGGAGGAGTCTCTTGAACATAAAGAACTGCTGCTGAAGAGTTCAGTAACATCACAACAATTAGCTGTGGAAAAAGTCAGGCTCGTCCCACCGCTGGAATCATAATCATGTTTGTGTTTAGCGACTCCGTTAAGGCCACTCTCTCGATTTTTGCCCTTTTCAAGCTGGTGTCAAACTTAGGCGGGTGCATGACTGATGACGCTGGGGTGGTTTTTCTCCTCTCCTCTGTATCACCTCGTCTCTCTCCATCGACAGACGCTCCTCATCTCTGCGCCATTTCAGGTTCTTTATCATATATCATATTCTCCAGCAGAAGGAAAGGCGACTCCTTCCCGAAAGGTCGAGCTCATTTGTTTCATGTGAGATATTCCGTTGAATACATAGTGATGAACGGCGAATGGGTCTCACTGAAGTTGATTGCCATGTGACTGTTTCACACACACACACACACACACACACACACAGACACACACATGCAGCCCTGTGGCTGATTGCTCCTTTAAATGCCACCCACTGGGGCTGCTGGCATGGCCGTGCATCGCCCCGTCAATGTTTTTCTGCTACGCCAGGCAGTGTAATGATGGCTCCAGCCTGGCCGAAGTGTCCGAGCTCCATGCTCTGAGAATAATTGACAATTACGAGGAATGTAGGGGCGAGCTAAATGCCACACCATGCTGAATATAGACACTCCATCTCAGATTGTGAAGCGGGGAATGGAGATCAGACGGCGGAGGTTTTACAATAAAGCTCTGAGGGAGCAACAGTTAATATTGTATACCTGGAAACAGCCCTTAATTCCAAGTTCTGACCCTCAAAGCAACTATTGGAAGGGATGATGGAGGAGCACACACAATGTCTGCTACCGCTTGAAAAATGATGCCTTTAGTCTTTTGTTGAAACACTTCCCTGTCCTTGGGTGACCTGTTGCAGTTTTGGGAGTAACTACTGACTGTCAAGGTGTTATATAGTGTTCTTTATCATCTATCATCATTTAAAGCTGGAGTAGGCATCTTTGACCACTGTAACACATTTTAGTGTAAAATGACAGTGAAATACTGGCAGCAATAACATTTACGGAATATCTTATGTATCACAAGAATACAGCATCTCACTGTAAACAAAGCATACAGTAATACGTTGCAATATTTAAACAAATTACAGAATGTTGCTGGCAGTAGTTTCACCAACATAAAACTGTACAATTTCTACCGTATGAGACAAAAACAGTTACTTATTGTCATCAAAATGTACAGTAATTTGCCAGCAGTAAGCCGTAAATTACTGTGAAAAGAAACACTTGATCGTTGGGATCATGGCAGCAAGCATTGTGACTCCCAGAATGCATTGCTTTCACAGCAAAATATAAGCATAATACAGCATATTTTGAAAGTATCCAACCGAATAAATCCCAGCCCCTCCCGTCAGGCCTTCCTCCAAAGCCACTCCCCCAAAACACATGACTTCTGCTGGAGGACGAGTCCATGAGCAACGTGATCTCATCCATACTCATCATAATGCAGCTTGGCAGACCTGTAGATGTATCGATCTTTCAGTTAAAGAGCGGAGGCTGGAGGTTTTATAGCCGCATGGTGGAAGTTCATCACTGCGCTGCAGTCTGGATTTAACCTCCATCGACTCAGATTCCATCTGGATGAAACCTTTTAAATCCAAGACTGAACTCTGGATCTCTGGATCTTTGATTTGGATCAGTAAAGTCAAAAAGTGATGCCGTTCTCCTCACTCAGAGGTCATCTTTACTGGCATAATAACTAGCAACGGAAGTCAGACGGCGGCTTTACTCTCTGTATCTCAAGCGGCCAGAGTTTCACAAGCATGTGAAGAACTACGGTGGCCTTCAGGTGACAGAAAACATGAAATGTCTCTACGTCACTCCTCCACATTCCAACGCTCACTGGTTGCAAAAAGTCAAGATGGCGACGGGCAAAGCTTCGAACTCGAGGCTTTATAGCGGCAGTCCACAAACCAATGGGTGATGTCCCGATGACTACGTCCACTTCTTATATACAGTCTGTGGTCAATGGGTTGCAAACAGCACCAAGGATTGCTACCCTCATACAAGAAAGTAAGATGGCGTTCGTCAATGAGGAAGGACATGAGATTGCCCAAAAACAACAAACAATAGCCACACACTGTTGTTCTGCAGCTGACTGATAGTGTGTTAAAAAAGGCTTCATCCTCTGTGCCTCAGAAATCCATCCTCCTCATTGTTAAAACAGCTCTGTTCTTTGAAGGCTCTGTGACTTGTGAGTGTCTTTGAGAACCAGCCTTCTATCTCCTGTCTATCTTTCCCTCTGACTGTCCTCCCACTGTATCTCTCCACCTCGCTGTGTTAAGACTAAAGAGGGAGCAGCAGCCCGATGGCCTTCAGCTGCCCTCCAGCTTTGTACCAGGCCAACTCTCCACACATCCCTCTGCCTGTCTGCGTATCCCTCTATTTCTGGCAACTTCCTTTTTTCTGTGTGGTTTTTACTGTTTTGTTTTGTACAAAAAAGTGCTTCATCAATCAAACCACAGCGGACACAAGCCTTCAAGAAAGAGTAGAGAAACAAGAACAGAGAGCTAAAAGGCTGAGGGGGATCTGAGGCTGCATAGCGGCTCATAGGCATGAAAAAAGATCGTATGTGGCTCGCGGCCACTACTCGGCCTGATCAGTAAAATCTTCGACATGCGCATGAAGGAGAAAATGACATATGGAGGACGACCCATAACCACCTGCTCATCCAACCGTGCAATCCTGTCCATCACTCCATCTCTCCATCTGCCGGTATCGGTCGATCCACTCTCCCGCGTGGAGATATGCCATCTCGAGTCAGCGGTGCAGTGACCCTCCATGAGAGCCTTTCTCTTTTTCTTTCCTCCAGTATCATTCTGAATATCTGTCCGGTTGCGTAGCTTTGCAATTCATCTTGACAAACTATGAAATACATCGACGTATCCTCGTACAACAGTTCCTAGGATACCTTTACGAAGAGATACTCTTTATTTTTGTGATTTCCGCTCGTTACATGCATACTGTATTTCCTCACAGGGAACTCAGGTTTTGGAAAAGATCGTGAAATACTGAATTACATCATGAATAAATCAACACTGACTTCTCCTGATAGATCGTTTTTTGTTTTAATAGGTGCCCATGTGGCTGCTGCATTGCATTCTGGTCCTTTTCCTGCTCCTGTGCGTGTAGAAATATTCCTGATTGTTTCTTCTTCTCTGTAATGAGTCACTGAATGTGTGATTTGTTTCTGGGCTCTCAACCACCCATCCATTAGCCAGCGCACAGATGTAGCTGTAACATCTTCACATGGTCTGTCCTCTGTGTCTCCTCTCAGGACTACCGAGTGAACATCTTCCTGAGACAGCAGTGGAACGACCCTCGGCTGGCCTACAGCGAGTACCCCGACGACTCGCTGGACCTCGACCCCTCTATGTTGGACTCCATCTGGAAACCCGATTTGTTCTTCGCCAACGAGAAGGGGGCCAACTTCCACGAGGTCACCACCGACAACAAGCTGCTACGCATCTCTAAAAACGGCAACGTGCTGTACAGCATACGGTGAGCGGAGGACAGTGTTGATTATTAGAGTGAATACTCGCGGGCGTGGACACACCGTAACAATCTCCTGCTCACATCCAGACTATTTCATTAACAGTGCATAGAATTAACTTACAGCAGCTGTAAAACGCTTAGTGCCTCGATACTGGTGGACTAAAACTGTCCAATGATCATTTAAAAGAGATATAACCGTAATGTAAAAAGTTTAGAGTCGCAGCAGAAGAGGAAGGAGAAAGGGAATACATCAGGAGGTTAGATTGAAACAATCAGTTATGAAACTATGATTGAAGATAGAAGGCGACTGCTCGGACTTCCTGTTTATTGCATTCCAAAGACCTTCATCTTCTGCTTCAGACTGCTCTTATTGCGTCAAAGTTGGAGGTTTTTATTTTCTCCAGAGCTCCACTTCCTCCCTCCTTTTTTTTTCTTCTGTATCTCCGAGACACCCCATTCAAGGCTCTCAGAGTTATAGCCGCCTTCAGCCGACAAAACCTTTTAGCCCGCCGGTGCCTCCTCCTCCTCCTCCTCCTCCTCGCTTTTATTGCCTCAGCTCAGGGGCGAATGAGAAAGAGACGCAGCAGCCATGGTAATCTACTCAGCCTGTTAGTATTCCAGCAGCGAGTCCAATCCGTTATCAACCTCAGTTCTCACCTTCATGTCCGGCCTGAAGAGGAGTGAGATTGGCCCTTTATAGATATCGTCAGAGAAAAGGGATGAACCCTGCTCTCCACTTCTGCTGCTCTCATTTGTTAACTTGACAACGTCAGAACGAACCCTCCCTCCATCAGCTGGATCTCGGCGGCGAAGCTGCGGCGGGATATTAACGCGTCCAGAGGAAAGACGGAGAAAGTGGGTCTTGTAAATGTTGTTTACTCTGTTCTCAATATTTATCGCTCGACAGCGGAGCGGTGACCGATGGCCGCGTCGCCTCCGAGATGAGAGTGAACTCTTTGAGATGGGACGATCAGATTCCCATGTTGTCAGATCTCCTGCTGTACTTCAAACGGGAATGCAGGGTTTGCTCTGAGCTCATATGAAATCCCATTTGTGCTCGTGGGGCGTGGTATCAAAAGGAACATTTATTATTCTTTAGTTTCAAGAATTCTTGTGCAAAATGCATCATGTGTTTTGAGGGGAATAGAAGTCAGTTTTCTCTAAAATAAAGACAAAACAAAACGTAGCATGGTGGTAAATCATATGAGGATATGATATGTGCAGTGGACATCGTAATGCTTTTGGAACACACTTTTATAAAATGTGTTCCTGCTGATTAGGACTCAAAAAGAACTCATATGTGTCCCGTAGTTTAGACTTTAATTGGAACTTTATTTATTTGCCCCGCACAACCTAAACATAAAATACACATGATACAGGAAGAGTTATTTTGTAGATATGTTTTAATATGTTAATTATAATGGATTATTATGTTAATCCATTAGAAGAAGAATAGGAAGTTAGTTTGCTTTGACGCACAGGGGCAATGGATTTACTGTACTTTGCTTTATTGACACAATTTACATCAAACTTCGTACGTGTTATTGGAGTCATACCTTTTTAGATTCACGGTGACTCACATTACGTCCCCAGTGTCCATCCAGTTATTTCGTTCTTTTGTATCAAAATAATGCAGTGATAAACGTCAGCACAGCTTTGATTCCACTGCAAACAGGAAGTGCTGCTAGATAATTATAAATCATACTCTTAATGGTGCCAATTTGACAAAATGTTCTGAAGTGTAAAATAAAACAGGTCTGGAGGTGTTGCCCACAGCTAAGTCACTGACTCCATTAAAACTTTGTTCTGTGCTCACAAAACATCATTATCCCCAAAAAGAAGTAATAAAGAATCGAGTCATATTTGTGGCAGATGTTGAGGGGATTGGATGTCTGCACATTTCTTTAGATTAAAGAATATTTTTGCTTCTTTGTAGAAAGTCCAACAAAACTAATACTTATGTTATTTCATCTTTTCCAACATTAGCACATTCGATTTATTCGTCACCGTTTTGAAACATCCCGTAGTGTCGTCCTTAAAGTCATTGAGGAGTTCATGAAATTCAGCATCGGTCCTGCGTGAGTTCTCCTTCTGGTGGAACAGAAGAACAGAATCACCTGCAGGGTCGGAGTACAAAGCAGGACGCGGTTATCTTTTTTTTGGTCAGCATTTGGCGTTTAGGTGTCTTGATGCAGCAAACAGGAAACCACAGAGCTGAACCTTCCTTCTGAGAAAGTGGGACATCTGTGGAGGCTACGTCGAGTGTGTAATACATATTCAGCATCCTGTCAGACGACTAACAATGTGCAGACGCGGCAAAGTGTTGTACATCATGCCAACTGGACGTGTGTGTGTGTGTGTGTGTGTGTGTGTGTGTTGTAGCAGCGGGTGTCCTGTTAGAGCGGAACAGGAGGACGGAGTGTGTGCAGCCAAATCACCTCCTGCTCCTCGTGACAACCTGCTGACAGCTGCGACTCTGCACAAACTGGGAGCTGTTTTTAATAATATATATGTTTAGGTTTTCTTAGAGAGACTTAATATTTAGTGACTTAGCGATTATGATGACACTGGTGGTGGATGGTGGTTTTCCGCCATCGGTTAAAAACTTGTTAAATCTGAGAATAACCTTCAGAGTCGTCTGACAGATAACGAGCTCTCTGATTAAAACAACAAGTCACGAAGCAACCGATTACGCACTTAGTGCATCATGGGAAACAGTGTCAGTCTGTGTCCGAAAATCAGATTCATCAGATTTCAAGTTGCCTGGTACAAAATTATTTATTTAAGATGGACAGTCGAGAATATTTGGTGATTCAAGATTCAAAGTTAAGAATACAATCTCACCACAAGATGTGCTGGAGCTTTCAGTCGTATCACATGGTCTTCAGAAGCACACAATTCCCTCCTTGTTCGAGGGACTTGAAGTATCCTTAGTCATCCCTGTTGGCTTATAGACTGAGTTTCATAATGTCTTCCTACACCTGAGCATCGTTAGGACCATGTGATGTGATGTGAAAGCTCCAGAAACAGCTACTGAATGCACCTTGTGCTGAGATTCTTTTCTCATTTATTTGAGGGGGAAATCATAGTCTGGAGTTATTGCAAAGCTCTTATGGAGATTAGTGCTGAATTGATTATGATATAGTGCAACTATCAATTATTTTAACAAATTAACAGCATTAGACCAGTTTATCTGTCCCCCCCCCCCCCCCCTTATAATTATTGATATTTTACAGACTGCACAATGTATGTATGAAAAATAATTGATTCTTTGGTAATCGTTGGTGCCATCTCTAATTGGTTCAATTTATTTTGAGAACACAGATGATGACATCCCTAGTTTTAAATAAACAGCTAATATTGGTGTCTGTGGGGGGGTGGAGCCGTAATGATGTCTGACGACGTGTTTCCAATGATATCTCATTTCAAAATGAAAGTCTTTTTTTTCAGTAATGCATCGAATCTGGTATCAACATTTCTTTTTCCATTAATTTCTGGGCGAAGTTGACTTTTGCAGAGATGCGTTCGCTCCATGTGACGGCAGGAATTCATTGACTCAGAAGCCTAATGCGTCACCACGACGACACGGGACCGGCTGCCTCGAACATTTTCATTTTCGGAGTTTCACGGATCAGCCTTCCATGAAACGAGATCCATTCCCATGTTGCTGCGTGTGGCTGCTCGGCTGCTCAGCTACAGGTTTTCATCCTGTTGGTCCTCCAGCAGAGAAGAAGAAGCTGTGACCGCCATCACAGATTCACTGTTCCTGTTCTTATGGTCCTCAGGTCTCCTCATTGTCATCAGTCAGCAACTAGAAGATTGAACTTAAATCTATCTGTCAAATATCTTTTTGATACAATGAACAGATATGAACAGACTCAGTCATTTCCTAAAACAGCCGCTGACTGAAGTTTTCCACAAAAGTTACTGAAACAAACAGGAAATAAAGTGCATTAGTCCGTCTTTTATTAAACTAAGGGCTTCTTCGGGGACTATTTTCAGCGGCGTATCAATCTGGTCTCTAGTGAGTCTTTGTGGCAGCAGGACGGTGTGTGTGTGTGTGTGTGTGTGTGTGTGTGTGTGATTGAGTCAGAATAAAATACTGTGTGTGTTCATGGTGATGAAGGAACAACAGAGTTGAGATATTAAGCTTTTTCATGCACACAATACTTGTTTGGAGATACTTTGACTGTTTGTGTCTTTTCATATCTTCACTCATAAATGACTTTAAAACAATATATTTGATTTGAATCGTTTAATCAATTAATCGTTAATTGTTTCAGTTGCTACTCAAATGTTTTAGTTGTTTTATCGTCTTCGTGAAAGCAAACAGTTGGATTCTGCTTTTATCAAGTTGAGCTCATTATTTAATTAGTTTTACTTTCACCCTTCATATCTGTGATGTTTGCTTCTCCTTTTCCGAGCAAAGTAATTAATTAAACTCTTTCATCTTCTGAAATGCTGTAAATGTGAGCACGAAACTAAATGTTTATAGAATGTAAATGGTAGTGATTTATTCATTCAAGCTAGTATTGAACTTAAATCGAATCAGTCTGGATAACAGCAGAGGCTGCATAGTTGTTGTTTCTTCAAAATCCCCCAAAAAATAAATGTATTTATTCGTATCAATTTCAAACACATCCTGATCTGTCGGTGTTCGGCGAGGTAGCCTGATAAAGCTCCGGATAATCCTCTTAGTACTAAGTGATGCTGAGTGTGTGTGTGTGTGTGTGTGTGTGTGTGTGTGTGTGTGTGTGTGTGTGTGTGTGT